TGCTTTGTTTATCAGCTTGCGCACATCAGCTATACAGGCGTTAATACTGAATGTTTAATATTATATTCATTGCATACATATACTTCGTAGTAGACATCCTTAACTCCTTTCTGCTGTCTGTTGTTCTGTTGTCTGTGTTTCTTTGTTTGAATATGGCGCTTATCACATGCTGTGTGGTATCGGCGTTTGGTATCAGGAGACCAGTATTGGGCCCGATACCGATACCAGTATCGGTATCGGTGCATCCCTATTATATACATTACCGTTTAAAAGTTTGTAGGAAATGATCACTTTTATTTGGAAAGGATGCATTAAATTTATCAAATGTGACATTTATAAATTTTACAAAAGATTTTTATTTCAAATAATGGATGTTCTTTTAAAAAAGAATCCTGAAAAAATGTATCATGGTTTCCAAAAAAATATGAATTACCTCAACCATTTTCAACATTTATAATAATAAGAAATGTTTCATGAGCAGCAAATCACAGTATTTCACAATATTACTGTTTTTACTGCATTTTGATCAAATAAATGCAATGTTGGTGAATATAACAGACTTCTTTCAAAAACAAATAAATTGCTGCTGTTCCTTTAAGAGCTATGTAAACTCCCACTTTATGAGAATAAAACAAACGCCTGTGAAAAAGCTATGCTTAGTAAGAATGAGAGAGAGCCTCACCGGCTGTGGTGGAAGGACTTGAGTTTGGGCTGAAGCAAAACAAACAGCACCACCAACAGCAGGATGAAGGCCACAGAGCTGGCAGTGGAGGCCACGATAGACAGAGCTGACATGGGCAGCGGGGATTGCTCCTCCCCTGGAAGAGAAATAACTTCAATAAAACTGATGAAAATGAAACCAAACAATCAGATTTAAATGATAACGAGTATCCAAAACACTGAAATATGATTGTCTAACAAAAAATTATGGTTGATGTTTCAAAAGCTGCTTTCTGGGAAACTTCTGATGCTGTACTGAACTCACTTGAACAGCTTGTACATTTGGCTACATTGCTGTAATTTACCATGTGCAAAATGATTCTCTGTTCTCAACGTTTGTCAAGGAGGAGGAAAACTGTCCATATGTGACAAAACGGCAGAATATCCAGATGGCCGAGCTTGTGGATCAAGCTCCTGCTGCTGTGAGACGTACCTTGCACAGAGTGACAACTGATCTGCATGGGCGACTTCCACTCTCCGTTGTCACAGGTCCGGAAATGGTACCCTCCTTTCAGAATGTAACCCTCATCACAGAAGAACTCGATCACGGTACCCTGGGTCAGTCTGTGGCACGGCGAGGGGTGGCAGTTATATCCTCCGTTCTCTGGCTCACTCGGTGGTTGACAAACTGTTGGGGAAAAAGTTACAAGTCTGACAAAGAACTGTTTTTCTAATCAGAAACTCATAACCAGTTATTCTGACATGATGTGAATAGCAATCACATCCAACCTTCTTAGAACAAAATACAACTCCTGAGAAAACAGGAACAGAGGACACAGAGAGGGTTAATTTGAACGTACCATCATTTTTGATGCAGCGAGGTGGGTCAGTGGACCAGTGGCCTGAGACGGTACATGTGATGATGCTGTAGCCATCCAGCGTGTATCCTGGATCACAGCTGTACTGTAGCTGCGTGCCAACGGGGAAGGAGCCGCGGTTTGTTTCCGTCAGGTTCCCACGGCCATGAGGCACAACTGAGGGTCTGGGACAACCTACAGGAGCAGAAAGAGCAGACGTTAGCATAAAAACATCAAGCTTAACTAAAAAAAAAAAAAGAGCTAACCAGTTCAAATTTCCCTTGGGGCCTGTTACTGTTATAGTGTCCTTCAATACAACTCTGAAAACGAGTTATTTAATAATGACAAAAGAAGCGTAATGAAATCCTCATGAATTTGAAACAGAATCAAAGTTATTTAATACAAATCTTGGATTTCAACCGAAACGTACATGGATGACAGTGTTCAAGCGTGGTCTGACTCAGATTAGCTAAATGTAAAAAAAACCCGTCAATAACCGACATAGCAATGTATAAAGCACAGCAGATACAGAAGTCATTTTTAAACCAATCAGCTCTCTGTTAGTCAGCACAGCAAATTCGTGCGTCCAACTTATACATTAGCAAAATCAGCATGGGGAACTTTTTTGCCCTCACGCAAGACTCCTGATCGCATGGCTACCTACTGAAATGACTGGATTTTGTCCTTGAACTTTCAACAAGCAACAGTAGCTAATTGTGACAGCACACTGAGGCTGGTTCAAAATGTTTTGAAGTAAAAAATAAAAACAACCATGTGTTTTCATGGTTGATCATTTCTCTCACTTTCGATTACTTGGGAACTAACATTAGATAGACTCAAACCAACAACAACAGTTTCAGTGTGAAAGTGCCCTAAAATGTATTTTCACTAACTCTAAAATTCATTATGTGTCAAAGAGAAAAAGGGGACACAAGCAGATCTTATTCTCATATTGCTGTCTGGTATTATATTCCTCCTCAATTTAACAAAAACTTCACCCAGATCACACACGTAATGTCCAGCCTTGAGATGGATAACAGAATACTACATTTCTGCCCTTGGGTTTAATGGCATAAAGCCAGTGGTGTCTCTTTCCCCTCTCATATTCTTCTTCTTTCTCATATGGGAAAAAGAAAAAAAAAAACTTTCCTGAGCTTCATTCACACAACAGATCACTTGAAACACATAAACATGTCTATCACCTCATTACATTAATCCAGCAGAAAGAAAGAAAACAACTCAAACAAACAGGGTATGTTTGGACAGACCCCCTCGATCACTGGGTTTTCTAATCTGAGCTTTTAACATGCTCTTAAGCTGCGATCAGCCGATTATGGACTCAGAGGATGGGCATACAGCTCTATCTCTTCTGTTCTGACACCAGACAAACAGTCAGGATATGAACCACAGATGCAGAGCTTCACAATCCATTATATAAAACGTGCAACATCTGTAAGAGGTTGATTTTTTTTGGTTGGAGTCTACGATCTGTATTTTAATGCACTTTTTAAAATGGAATGTTCTGATTCTCATGAAGTCATGAGCTGACAATAAAGATGAAAAAAAAATTCTACATTCTACAAAAAATTCAATCTACATTATTTTGCCTCAGGTCTAAATGAAACTGGATCATGTTGTTCTTCCTTGTCATTTCATTGTTAGTTCGTGCGTCACTGAAAGGTAGGATCAATCAGGAAAACGAAAGAATCGCAGACTTGCGGAAGAACATTTGTTAATAACAGCTGCCCAGACCTGCTATGACAAGTTAGACTGGGCCTTCACAACATCTAAAACTGATTGCACACTTGACAATAGATACCTATCTTAGGAGTACCACATGGGACGGGTTATGTGTCAGAAAACATAACGTCCAAAAATATGTACTAAGGTTCCGACTGAAATTCCAATTAACCTGTTTGGCTGGCAGAAGTTTCATAAGAAACTAGGTTAATTTTGTCTACCTCGAATAGCAGATCAAATTTACCACAAACAATTTCCTAAATGTGCCCTTAACTACTTAAAACTAATCATCTGAATTACATACAACTCGTTTAGATAATGAGAAGTTTAACATTTGGAGAGAGATCGCAACAATGAAACAATGTCAAACACATGGTCCTAAACGGTGTTCACCCTCCAACTGTCCACAATGCAGCACGCAGAAGAAAAAAAATGAAGGGATTTACAGCAGAATGAAATTCTAATTATCCTTCATTACAAATGGCTGTGGTCTAAATCGGATCACATTACTGACCACTGCAGTGTGCAGCTGCTCAGTGAGACCAAAACCCAGCGGCCCAGCCGTGGATTAGACCCTGCTGTCTCAAAAAAATCCTCCTTTGTAAATATGTTTTTGTTGGAGATCTCCTTATTACATGGGATGATGTGTTTTTCCATCTCCATTATTTTTCCCTTATCTCTCCTAATTCAAATCCCTGAGATTGTAAGCAAGCTGTCAGAAAATGGCAGAAGGGGGATTTGTTCCTCTCTCCCATTTATAGAATTTGTAGAAATGGAGGAGGGTACATGTGGGCGCATCTCTCACTGATATGAATCTAAATTAGGAATGGGCAGTATGACCAAAATCTTACAGTATGATGAATTTTATAAATAACAATAACCGTATATCATGATATATTTTTACTGGAAACACAGCCCCAAAATATTTCATAATTACATAATAATGTGGTAATGTCTATTTCGGATCCTCAAGTGACTTTAGTTAAAAAAAAAAAACTTTTTCAGTTCTTTTTTTTTTTTGTTACGTGAAATAAGAACAAAAACCATCACTGTGAAAAACTAAAACTAAGCTATTTCCTTGATAACAAACTAAAATAAAATCAAATAAAAACATAATTTCAGTTACATTATAAGATCTTTACAACCTGCCTACATTTAGCTTGAAAATGTTAATTTTGTTAATTAAATTTGTTATAAACTTTTAAATTATACCATTATAACTTTGGAAGTCATAAAAAAAAACTAAAACTAAAATAAAAATTAAGCAAACAAAAAGTAAATAAATAAAACAACAACAAAATTATAAAACAAAAACTAACTAAAAAAATCTGTTTTTATTAAATAGAAATAAAAACTAATTAAAAACTATTAAAACCCTGCACAAGGTTTTCACCATATGTATACAGCAAAACAAAATTACTAATATTGACGTAGTTTTTTTAATGTCTCTTAAATAAATGTCTTATGCTTACCAAGGCAGCATTTATTTGATCAAAATAACAATAAAAACAGTAATATTGTGATATATTTTTACAATTTACAATAACTGTTTTCTATTTTAATATATTTTAAATGTAATTTACTCCTCTAATGGCAAAGCTGAATTTTCAGCAGCCATTCAGTCTTCAGAAATCATTCTAATAAGCTGATTTGGTGCTCAAGAACATTTCTTATTATCAATGTTGAAAACAGTTGTTCTGCTTAAAATTTTGTGGAAGAGATTCTCTGATGAACAGAAAGTAAAAAAAGCAGCATTTATTTAATAAATTTATATATAAAAATATTTTCTACCATTATAAATGTCGCTTTTGATAAATTTAAAGCATCCTTTCTGAATAAAAAAATTACTGATTATAATGACTTATACTGTCTTTTTACGCGTTGCATCGCGCCGCTTAAACATAAAACGATTTCTGCATTTGTGATCGGAGAAATACTCTCTACACTGCTTAAAACTCGCGTTTTAATCATCAGTGGCAAATTCTTTAAATATAAAAAACGTACTTACAGTCTGTGAGTCAGAACAGCCAGCATTGTGGTCTACTCTACCAGGATCAGGAAACAGTCCTCCATAAAATGTGCTGCACACATCTGAATATTTGGGTTGAACTGTTCCGGAACAGTGTTGTAAATACAACTTAACCACTGCTTTCTAGTCGTGTCCTCTTTTGGAAGGCCAAACAAAGTATTTTCACTTTCACAACGAAACACACAGAGTCTTCACAACATGGCGGCGGCGGTGGCAGCAACAATAAAGTTACGCCTTCTTTCTTTGCATGAACATTTGGGCGGCGTTATGCAAATATTCCCACATCGTGATGTAGACATGTGAGGGCGTGTTTAAACAAGGCGTTTTAGGAGGGCGTGGACTAGGGGTCGACCAATTATCGGCGCTGATATTAAGCATTTTTATGATTATCGTATCGGTCATTTTCAAAATCGGAATTCACTCTCACTCCGAAAGCGCTTGCTAACTGGAGCTGCTTCGGTGATCACGCATCAGTTGTCTCTCAAAGGTAAGGCAGTAGCAGACGTTGCTTAAGTTGCAATAAATCGCAATCCACTAACTGTTACACTGAAGTTGCAAAACACCTCAATATTATCTATGATTTCTGCGATGCGGAAAACGTGGACGGAATCGCGGAATCCAGTCATATAAATGGAATTTACTGTATGACGCGGAATGTCACGGAATTTGTCAAAGTTTGGATGAATTAATCAAAAGTAGGTCAGTACACTTAAATAGAGTCGCAATATGGACTAGTATCTGTAAATATTAAGCCGCAAAAATACTATTTAAATATGAATCCAGCATGTTCTGCGTGTCTCTGTGTATGTAAATGGCACAGACGCGCGGTTTTGTTTTCTACACATACAAAGTGTGCGACGCTCGCGGTGATTTCAGCTTCTGTCGTCTCACTACATGAGGACATAAATACATCAACACCATCTACAGAACTGCTCTGACTCCCTCTGAGAGTCACTTCATGAGCATTTGACAGTTTCATTGGAGTAAAACTATCTTCATATCATTTACATAGACCTACAGAAACAAGTTCCTCATGGCAACCCGTCAAAATATAAATTCGGGTTAGCTTAAAGAAATTATCAGAAATATATTACTGTGGTGCAGTATGATATACATAATACTACTCAGGGATGAAAGTTTTCCGTCGCTACGACGGATTTCCGTCAATTGGAAAAAATGAGGGGAAAAGAAACATGTAGCACATTGTTGTTGTTCTGCCGGTGTTCTGACGATTTGTTGGTAGCATAATCTGATAGGTAGCATTATTTGTCAGAACACCA